TCTCCAAGTCCTGAAAAACACATCGGTCAGGGAAAAAGGTTACTGAATAGTTCATATGTTTGGTAATACTACTGACTGAAAGCAGGTTAGTATCATGCTTAGGAACATGCAAGACAGAATATAAAGAGATAGTATCTGATAACTTGATGTCATCCTAAATGGGAACAAGAGAGCCATCAACAATGGATACTCTATCTCGGCCAGAGGACAAGTGATAAGTAGTGAACAAAGATGGCAAGCTAGTCATATGGTCGGATGCACCTGAATCTATTACCCAACAGTGGTCAGTATTACCTGGAGCTGAAGCATGGTAAGCTGAGGCTCGAGTACCTGAATGTGYAAATGCAGATGTGGCAGGAGCTGATGGTGACTGAGAYGGCTGAGCTGAACTCCCAACTTCCTTTTCCAACTGTATGAGGGCAGCCCGAACCGCGGCTAAGGTCTCTAGGGATGTGCCTTTTGTGCCTGATGAGGATGCTGAATCAGTGTTCACAGCYACATGAGCATTACCCTTCTTATTTCTTAGTTTTGCTGGGACCAAATGAGGATGTAGCTTCCAACAAGTATCTTTTGTGTGCTTGGGTTTCTTGCAATGTTCACATATCAGGTCCCATTTATCTTCTTTCTTCCGGTCCTTTTCTGGATCACCCCCTGACTTAGGTTTAACAGCTATCAGGGCTGGGGAAGGGGGCTGAGGTTGCATCATGACTTTCCTCCTGGTCTCTTCACTATGCACCAGGGAGTAYGCTTGAGAGAGGGTCACACTATCTCTGGTCAGTATCTGTTGCCGCACAATGTCATATTCTGAATTCAAGCCAACCAGGAACTCAAACACCCTGTTTGTCTCGACTTGCTTTCTGTGAGTCTGTGCATCTTTGGGACTCTCCCACTCAAGGGTCTCTAGATGGTCAATCTCATGACACAAGGATTTCAAGGTAGAGAAGTAGACAGAAACTGGCTTCTTTCCTTGTTTAAGACTGTTCACCTCACACTTCAGTTCATAGGCTCTGGCAACATTAAGGGGTTGGGAATAGGTTTCTTTCACAACATTCCATATCTCCTTGGCTGTCTTTGCCCACAAGTAATTTCGGCTGATATGTGGCTRCATAGAATTACACAGCCATGCCATAACCAAATAGTTCTCTTGAACCCACTTGGTGTATGTTGGGTCCTCCTTGGAAGGTTCTTTCACATCTCCCAAGAGGTAACCTAGTTTTCCCCTTCCTCCAATAGCCATCATGGCTGATTGAGCCCATTCCAAGTAATTTGACCCATTAAATCTCAGAGTTGTAATCTGAAACCCAGTTTCAGATACACTCCCTGATTTTTAAACTCCATCTTTGGTCAAGAATCAGTAGTTACAAACTGTTAGAGCCACTACACCAGAAAACAGCACTTGGACAGTCGATCACATTCAGAAAACTGTATGGAATCAATGCAGGTCTGATCTGAAACCAATCTGTAATCATGGTATATGCATGAACTAGTGCAGGTCTGATCTGAAACCAATCGGCAATCACAGTATATGCATGAAACCAATACAAATCTGATCTGAAATCAATCGGCAATCA